ATCAGGTATCAAAAAACAAAAAATCCTATCATTGTGTATGAGGGGGGGAGTGCGGAGTGGGGACCCAAAGCCCATCTGTAGGCAACTGGACATCCCCTTACAGAAGGGTCATGGGGAGTTGATGAGCCTGTTGGTGCAATGTAGCACCGATGAAATATACAGCTTTCCTCTAGTTCTTTAATGCTTCTTTCCCCCCACTATCATGATCCCAATTCTGCCTTACAAACCTGGCTAGACCAGAGGATGTACAGTGGTACAGATAGGAACTGGAAACACAGGGAATCCAGGATAGATGAATCCATCAGAACCAGTGGTCAGAGTGGCGATACCTGGAGGGTGAAGGGAAGGTGGGGTAGAAAGGGAACTGATCACAAGGATATACATATAACCCCCTCCTTGGACAGACAGCAGAAAAGTAGGTGAAGGGAGAAGTCGGGACAGTGTAAGACATGACAATATAATAATGATTTATAAATTATCGGGGAGGGAGGAAGGGGAAAAATGAGTTGATATTAAGGGCTCAAGTTGAAAACAAATGTTTTGCGAATGATGATGGACAACAAATGTACAAACGTGCTTGACACGATGGATGGATTGTGATAAGAGTTGGATGAGCCCCATTAGAATGATTTTTAAAACGTGCTGGAAAAACTTGGCTTATACTGGAGTATGTACGGTAACCCACTTGGGGACTATACAAATGGGCTTTCACTGTCGTTCATGCCCTCCTGCAAACCAGGTCCTCCGAATTTAAACTGATACAGTTCTGTCCTCTAATCTTGGATTTTATTATTTACAATCCCTGGATCACGCGGGCTGGTTTGTCCCTTCCAGGTGGGCTTCACTAGCCCCTCGCTTAGCTGGCGGCGTAAGGACAGGCCTTTCAGGCTCCAGGTGCTGTTCTCCTGCGGTGCGGCACTGTCTCGTGTGCTCACCGCACCTTGCTCTTCGCTGACCCTCATGAAGGCACGTGTTCAGCAGGGAGAGCGCGTCTCTTGAGACTAGTTTTGAGGGAATTAGAGAGGTAAATAAAGATTGGGATTTCTGTATAGCTTGTACTTGATTTTTTTTAAAAGGTTGATGTACATATTTTAAGATTCTAGTTCGTATTAGATAATGAGCTATATTACTCAGTGATTTCTAATTATCCTATGGCTTCAGTGTGGTTCATATATAATGTTACAATGTGTCTTGGCTGTATTTTTTTAGGTACAAGACTGTCATGTCCTAAAATACACGCCGAAGGAAAACGTCAATGGGAAAATGGCCACCCTAACTGTAGGAGGAAAAACCGTGTCACGCTTTTATGTAAGGATGGTTTTACATTTCTGATAGTATATTTCATTACTCTATGATCTGATTGTTTTATTTTTTGAGACTATTCCATAAGAGTAATTTTGCAGTTTGCCAAGATGATAAATTATAAGAGACAATTTAGCAGAGCCGTTGAGGCCAAGAATCCAAGTACTGGTAACTCTGAATCTGTCCTAGTACCACTCCTAACTGTCTAGAACAAGTGAATTATCCTTTTTAGGATGTGGTATTTGCCTAGCTGTAAAATTAGGGTCAAATTAGTACTTTCGTAACAGTTTGCTGTGAGACTAAATGAAACATTTCAGTGTCCCTAACATGAAGGAGACACTTAATAGAAGCTAACGACAAAACTGAATACCCAGCCCCACTGCTGCCGAGTTCTAGCCTGTGTGACGGTGATGCTATAGGTGACAATGTGACGGAGTAGAACTGCCCCATGGGGTTTCCCAGGCTGACCGTCTACAGAAGCAGATGGCCACGCCTTCCTCTGCTGACCTTGAATTGCTGACCTTTCAGATGACAGCTGAGTCCCTGAACCAGGCACCACTTCAGTAGATGGAAGCTGCTGCTGTTCTGTGTTTAGTTTCACTTCGTTAGGAAAGTGTTCAGCACTCGACGCCAATAAGTGGACATGGATCTAGAAGCCAAATCAGATTTTAAAAATAATAAAGTGGCTTTTCTTTTTTTCCTAACTAAATACTCGGAGTGCTGGTGTTGAAGTTTGTTAAAAGTGCACGATTAGTGTGCTTTTTGGAAGATGAAAGTCCGTTGGTAGCACAAACTGTTCACCTGCTTAGCCATGAAGCAAAGGATTGGCAGGTTGCGTTCACTTAGCGTCACCTCAGACAAAAGGCCTGGCTATTGACAACTATTAAATAAGCCATTATCTGATCAGACAAATGCCATGTAACCGCTGAGAGGAATTTCTGAGAGCCAAATGGCATAATAGTGGACCAGGAGGGAAACAGGAAAGAACTAGGAGGTAAAAGACTTTATAGAGGTATACACATAGGCATGTCTGTATGTAAATATGTTCATAAAGAACAACAGGGATATAGGTCTATGCACATGTATTTCATATGTTAACGCCGAGCACAATGTTTTCATGACATTTATTTTATATATATTTATAATATGTATTGATAAATATGAAAGTAAAGAATAAAAACAAAAAAAATTTTTTTCCTGAAATTAAAAATTAGGTTGTTAAATGTTACGGAAAAAGTCGCATTCAGCGTTATAGGGTTAAGTGTTGAGGTAGCAGACGGACATTGGGCCTCTACGCAGATCCTCCTTCAATGCAAGAACACTTTGTTCTAATAACCTGGCATTCTGTAATGCTCACCTTCCCTACACAATTGCTAAAGAAGAAAATGGTGCATAACCAGATATGAAGGAAGCTGATGGTTTCAGGCTATTAGAAGGTATAGCATCTGGGATCTTATAGGCTTGAAGTGAAACAATCGGTCATCTAGCAGGGAAGCAGCAAAACCCACATGGAAGAAGTACAGCCAGCCTGTGTGATCATGAGGTGTCAGTTCGATCAGGTATCAGAAGACCCAAAACAAACAAAATCATATCGATGCGAATGAGGGGGGTCTGAGTGGAGACCTAAAGTCCATTTGTAGACAATTGGACATCCCCTCTCACCTCTAGTTCTTTACTACTTCCTCCTCTCCCCACTATCATGACCCCAGTTGTGTTAGACAAGTGGGTTTATTGGCCAGGCTGGCACAATAAACTCTCTCACCAGTTCTGCCTTATAAATCTGGCTAGACTAGAGCAGGTATATTGGTACCAATAAGAACTCTCAACACAGGAGCAGTAATGGGAGCAGCAGTACCATGAGGGTAGGGGGAGAGTGGGGGTAGAAAGGAGGAACTGATCGGAATGATAGACGTATAACCACCACCCCCCCAAAGGGGACGAACAACAGAAACATAAAGGGAGACAGTGGGTGGTATAAGCTATGAAAATAATTATAATTTATCAAGAGTTCATGAGGGGGGAGGGAAAAAGGAGTAGCTGATACCAAGGGCTCAAGTAGGAAAAAATGATGGCAACATATGTACAAATGTGCTTTAAACAGTTGATGTGTGGAGTGTTCTATGAACTGTTAGAGCCCCACTAAACTGATATATTAAAAAAAAAAAAAACCTGCATCAGAGTCTGTCGCCATGAGCAAAGGAGCTAAACGTAAAATTGCAAAGCACAGCTGGGGGAATTGTATTATGGTGAAATATGCAGAAGAAAATAAAGAAACACACTCTACATATCTTAAGCTGAAAGAATTAAAAAAATTAAGCTTTAGTTAAAATATTAAAAGTGTGGATAAAATAATGAACAATACAGGAAGCTCAAGAAAATGAAAGGACTACGCAGTGGACCAAAAGAAGTAGTTGACATCCAACCATTTTAAGAGGTAATAGATGACCAAGACCCAGCAGTGCCGAAGGAAGAAAGCCAAGCTACGCTGAAGGCATTAGCCAAAACAAGGCTCCCAGGACTTGTTGGAATGCCAATTGAAATGTTTCAGCAAGGTGATGAAGTATGGAAGCACTCACTCAACTATGCCAAGAAATTTGAAAAACATCTACCTGGCCAGCTGACAGGAAGTGACCCATGTTTTTACCCATTCCAAAGAAAGGGGGTACAACAGTATATGGAAGTTATTGAACAATATCATTATCACATGCAAGTGAAATTGTGCTGAAGATGATCTCAACAATGGCTGCAGCAGTAGCAATCATTGAAGGGCGATCATTTCTAGTATTAGGTGGATCTTGGCTGAAGGCAGAGTATACCAGAAAGATGTTCCTTGTGTCTTACTGACTGATGAAGATAAAGATTGTAGTCTTCAAGAAAGACTACAACTCACTGTTACCTATATGAAACTCACTGCCATGAAGTCAGGTGAGACTCAAAACAACCCTGTAGGACAGGTTATAACTTCCCCTGTGGGTTTTCTCAGACGGTACCTCTTTACAGGAGAAGAAAGCTTAGTCTTTCTCTTCCCTTAATGTAAAAACAAACCAAATCCTCACAACTGGACCTATATGTAGCACCATGATTAACGGAGAAAAGATTCACATTGTCAAGGATATCTTGCTTGGATCCATAATTAGTGCTCATGGAAACAGCTGTCCAGAGATCTGATGGCCCATTGCATTGGGTAAATCTATTGCACGAGACCTCTTTAAAGTGTTGAAGAGTAGGAATGTCACTTTGACCCAGGCCAGGGTCTTTTCATTTGTCTTATGTGCATGTGAAAAATTGGACATTGACTAAGAACAAATCGATGCATTTGAATTCTGTGCTGGCAAAGAATAGTCAAAGTACTGCCAGAGGAGCCAACAAATCCGCCCTGGAAGAAGTACAGCCAGAATACTCCTTAGAGATGGGGATAGCGAAACTCTCCCATCCCTTGGCTACGTTGTCACGAGATCCCAGTCCCTGGAAAAGGACATTGTGCTTGGTAAAGTTGAAGGGCAGCAAAAAAGAAGACCCCGCCAGATGGCCCGACGACCCAGTAGCTGCACCGGTGGGCCCCAGCAAAACAGTCGTGAGGGCATCGGGGGACCAGAACGCGCCTCCTTCTGTTGTACAGAAAGTGGCCGCGTGTTTGAACCCCTGATGACCCCTAACAGCAGCGTGAGTAGGAGTTGACATGGCTCCAGTTTTTGGTGGTGCTTTATTTTTTGTGTTTGTTTTTAATTGATTACTAAAAGCAAAGAAAACCATTTTGCAACGGTGATTGTTTTCACTCATGGGCAACGAAACATCTTTCGGTTAGCTCACCACACTATCTTCTAAGATAAATACTTTTTTCATTGTAAATTATGTATAGAATGAATAGTGGTTGGAAATTTGGCTATAGCTTGTACTTTCTAACTACCCAGCTAGCCTTGGAATGATTGGTTAAGTGTTTATTTTGTACCTGTGTCTGTGTTATAGTTTCATTGAGCGGTTATTACATGCTGAGTACACGTGTGTTAAGCTTTTTATCCTTTATGAGGGTCTGAAGTTTAAAGACATAGGAATAATGTGCTCATTGGCAAGTTGACAAGCCATCCCAATTCATTGTTCTAAATGGAGGTGGCTGCCTCTGCTTTGGGAAATCCCAAAGGCTTCGCAAGGAGGAAAGGGGCATGTAGAAGAGGATGTGTGCTTGGGAATAGAACCAGGATGACTGGGTGGATGTGCGTGTGCAGTTGTGGCACCAGTGGGGAGAAAGGAAGGGGTCAGTGTAGAGCACGAGGGACCTCTATGCCACAGTAAAGAGTTGGGACTTTATCTCTTAGACCCCCAAGGAGCTATCTAAATTCTAACCAGGGCTGTCACCTAGTCATGTTGAATCCAGATGGGGGAATGCACAAAGGAGGTGGTTAAAGCAACTAGGGAAGGGTGGATAAAGCCTTCTGAACCCAGCCTGTGGCATTGCAATTGGGAGAGATGGGGATTCATAAAGGGCCTGTGGGGGTGAGCCGTAGCAGGGAGAGGAGGCAGGCTGAGAGCAGTTTAACAAGGTGCTGGTGCTGTACCCTGGAGGTTAGGACCAGCGAAGGGAAGTGTTTCAGGAAGGCTGTGTGTGAGGAAGAGCCCTGCGAGTTCAAGCCCACACACCGCACCGTGGAAGGAAGATGCGGCCAACTGCTATAAAGACGTACAACCTCGAAAACCTCTTGTGGGGATGCTGTGAGTCAGACTCGCCTCGATGGCAGCTGGTAGCAGATATCGGATGTGGATGTACCTGTCAGTCATGAACTGTTGGTGCGTACGGCATCAGTGGATGTCGATGGGTGCCATTGAATCGCTTCTGACCCACAGTGAGTGACCCTCTGCACCGCAGAGGACCCAGTGCTGCCGCATCCGCACCATTGTTCTGCTTGCTTCAGCCTATTCTTGCAGCCGCTGTGTCAGTCCGTCGTGTGGAAGGCCCTCCTCTCTCTTGCTGCCTCTCCACTTGACTAAGCACGAAGGCCTCTTCCAGGGGC